ATAGATAGATAGATAGATAGATAGATAGATAGATAGATAGATAGATAACGTTTTAAAGTTGGCATCAAGCATATTAACAAACAATAATGTATTATACAGCCTAATCTAAAACCATTCTCTTTTGCAAATGGTGTTTTATTGTTCTGCATGCTTTTATTGCAGCTGTCTGTGGCTCATGCCGGCGAGAGTAGCTGTCAGCGTGTAGATTACATCACTATGGTCGAGGGCAGCTATCGGGGACAAACACTGTACTCTCACACTCCAATTCAGTGAACTGCTAAATAAATTAGCTTTCTGTGTTGTACACTTCATTGAGCAATGTCATTTTGCAAGCTCGGATAGCCATGATCCATCTCTGTGGTGAAGGACGGAGGCAGATCATTATTGACGTGTTAGCGTTCATTGAAAAGGCAGAGATATCTATGAAGGAGCAAAGATACTTTTTTGTAACAAATGTATCGAAGGTTGATCAGGTTTTCTGCCCTTACACCGAAGAACATTTGAATGACAGGGACTTACAAACTGGAAAATAGTAACAATGAATCCAGGCCCAAGATGGACGTGCGACTGCACTTCCACAGTGAGCGATGCATGGCTAGTAAAATGGCGTCTTTGTACTTGAGGTGGGCTTTGTTTAAAGCAATTATGAGTGCCAATGGGAGCCGCACATCTCTGTGTTAATGGCTTTTAGCCTTGCAGCAATTTTCTTCAACTGCAACAAAAATTAGGTGTAATTTTCAGAGTCTGGAACAAGTGTGACAGTGGCTTAGAGGACAGAGAAATTCGGCTTAAAACAGTACAATGTTTTTTTTAAACAAATGCTCCCTTGACATTCTTCTTGTAATTTACTTTTTTCCTATGAGTCAACTTGGCATATAAATGCCAAATTATTGTTGTAGAGGAGCGTTGAATGTCCAAACATCTGGCAGCATAAATTGCATATTATAACTAAACAAACCACCCCCAGCCTTATCGTCCCTGTCTAAGAATGCAGGGAAATAATCGAGACGGCATCTTAAAAGAGAAGGGCCGACATTTAATAAATGTATCATCGGTCCCTCACAGGCAGCTGTAAAAACATTGTGATGGGGAGAAGAGGGAAAATCATGGCATGTTTGGGCATAAATCTCTTATTATAATGATTTCAGCATTTTTTTAAAATCAATTTAAAAACAAAGGTTCTGCCAAAGTTATCTATATTCTACATTTCAAGAGATTTTAAATAATAAACCTTTTCCTTTATGTTACATTCTGTTAACTTTTGGACCCATCTGTCAAATGGTCTCCTATGTTATAATCCAGATGTTGGATTAACAATGCTGCAACAGAATGGTCAGTGGAAGTAAACATATATATTTATTTACATTTATGTATATGCATCTACATGTAAATAGGTATGAAAATTGAAATTACCAAGGTATTTTCAGCTGTTTTTTTTCCGCAAACATTTGTGAATGTGCCACAGAAACTCTATTCAGTCTTACGCTCCAACATCTGTCACCTGCAGCCTGAACTCCAGAGCTCATCCATGTTTATCTGTTTGTGTTTGTGTGTACACATGAATCCCCCACGTTTGGCTGCTCGGCAAATGAGTGGATTCCTCCCTGTGTTTCTGACGGGAAGATGACAACATTATTATCGACTGCAGGACTCTTGTCAGCCGCGCCGTGGATAATAATCTACCTACTGAGCCCCGGTTTAGTGTCCTCAGAAGCAGCTGCTGGAGAGGTACAGTGAGAGAACGGTTCAGTGACACGTGTGCCACGGAACACAGAGGAAAAATCAGCCCCCTCCTGCAGATGCGAGGCTCTACCTGCAACCTTTCATGCTGCAGTCTCATCCAGAGTGGTGTCATGTCACTGAGTTTAGACCTCCTGCACTTGTGCATAGAGGAGGCGAGCTGGTGAGGATGAGGTTGACAGCTGCCTGCGGCATCCGGGGGTGGGGGGCCAATGCCATTTTCCCCTCTTTGGTGGGAGGGTGTATGAATAAAAAAAAAATAAAAAAAAGTGGTGCCCAGCTGCTATTTACAGATATCGTCTTTTTTTCCCAAGCGTGCATCGCACAAACACGCAGCGAAAAAGCTCAGTTTCTTCTCCCCCCAAAAAACATTTGTGGAGGAGTCAAGTGCGAGGCCATGCTGCCTCCTGGTGGAGGGTGTCTGGACGAATAAATAAATCATCCGGTCTGATTGTAGTGCACACAGAGGCTCCATCACTAATCATTTTCCATAGCAACAGAATCAGAGACGGACTGATGCGTTCTGTCCTCGGCTTTCCCTGATCCGTACACGTCTCATGAATGGGAAAAACTGTTCCCAGACCAAGCCGATCACTTCAGATCCCTGCGTTATTTTCTTTGGAGCAATCTTATGACTGAACAGAAGCAAATCCCTGCATTCGATCAGTTCAGAGTGGAGGCCGCTGCTCACTGTTGGTTTGGTAATAAGAGTGCAGCACTGTACTTATCTTTATTATGCAAGCATATTATAATTCATGCACTGTTATGAGCCAACCAGCTCGTAGACGGGAATCTTATCAAAGTAAGCTTTGATTTGATGAGTAGCGAATCCAAGCCTACTCAGTGCAACCTCTCAGCTGCAGCATTATCCGACACCATGCATGAAAAAATGATTTCTGAATCCCAGTGAAGCCGATGATTATTACAATTTTATTACGTTTCTTTAAAAATACGACCCATAAAAACAGAACAAAAACACCCCTAAGATGGAATGAGCCACTGATATGAATCATATTAACACTGGTGGGAAGCCTCACCATGAGCCTGGAATTACTTTGGAAGGTGGCAAGCCACAAATTCAGGGAGAATCCCGACTGCTGATCAACTCATGCAAGTTTTTGAAATGCAGCACTTTCACGGAGACTCCGTCAATTAGCAGCACGAGCCCATGTTTCATCTAAAAAGACATCAGGAACATCAAATCCACCTCTGGTGTCAGGTGTTAACACCAGAAGAGTCCAACATGTGCCAATCAGCATAGAGAGCATATGTAAGAAAGCCGATTCAGCAAAAACTCACATTTAAAACTTGGCTTTCTAACATGAAAACACATATTTTTCTATGGTTACACACGCTGTTATTATGGAGTCAAAATACTATCGCTTCATCTAAAAGAAATGTTTTCTTTAATGATATTTTTACCCATCTAACAAGTATGGAAATAGTTTTCACTTGAAATGCATTATGTATGGATAACCTCCCTGACCCGATAAGAAGGGAGCTGAAAACATCAGAGGTCTAGACTGTTTACAGTACCTGTGCAAATGTAAGATGTTTTAATGTGTTGAAAGTGAACAGAGGAGATAACAGCTAAATTAAGCCAACTGCTCGGGATTTATGGCTCATTAAACAGATGAGCTGATAAAACAGGCATCAAACAGAATTAATCAGGTCTGGATTTCACACAAATAGCAGGATATGAAAGATTTAGGTCATATTTTTGTGAAATTTCATCAGCTGAACTTGGCAGTGACTGAACTCATTCAACAGGTAATACTGAAATGGCATATAGCATTTATTTAAACTGCCTATGGTCATTTTTACTGGTCAGAACATATTCTGTGAGGTGTCTGTTACAACTTAATAACTTTTGAAACACTTGATCCTCTCTAGCTTTTCAACAGGGGAACATACTGGATTTCTGATGGTAACAAGACAAAAAGATGCCTGAAAATTTAACACAGGCTACTTGTTTGGTTTGACACGATAAAAGAAAAAGATCCCGTTGATCATTCTGCTGAACTTCAAATTTTAAATCTAAATCATTTCATTATTTTGAGATGGAAGGTTAAACAAACCCCTTTAAAGTCAAACAGCAATGTGTGGCCAAACAAAAAATAACAAAATAAATGTACCACAAAAATAACCTAATTCCCCATAGAAGAGTACATAAACAGCAATGATACTCCAGGGACACTTTCACACAGAGGAGCAGGTGAGAAATTGTGTTAATGCAGAATATTGTTTGGTCCAATGAACTTTCACAAAACAAGTTTGTTACATACAAAACAGCATATATGAGGAGAGCCGCTACAAGTATATTCCCAAAAATGAGAGTCCAATGTTAAGAAAAAAAAACATGTTTTCTTGTCTAGAAGGAAAGAAAAAAGAAAAGAAACTTCATTCTGTGTCAGAACAATTTCAAATACATCTAATGCTGCTAGATGACTAAAGAAATTTGTTCCATGCATTATATTAAAATATACAACTTCTCACCTTCTGAGAGAACACAACACTAGTTTATTTACATGGCTCCACTACATTCTCTGTACATTTCAGACTGTGAGGAGCAGGAGGTTAAGTTAAAGGCACAGTTCAGTTCCTTACATCCTGCAACGTACCAGCAAAGCTCTAAACACCAAACATGGCATCTGCAGGGGACAGGAATGAAAACAAAAGGGAGCCAATATTCATGAGAGCCTTCTATGCAAAATCATTTATAATCAGGCAGAAACTGAACCTGCAGCTAAGGTACACATGGCATTTGGTTTCTGGTTCAACGTGAGGTGAACGTTGCTTCTCGGTCCATTGAAATCAATATAGCTCATACTTGAATGTGTCAAAAAAATAAATAAAAGCGACGGTCAAATTCTTTATTCAGTGTAAACCATCACGCACGTCCTCTTTTCTGTCATTTCTGGGACACTTGGAGCACATTGTGAGGGTTGAGGTGAAAAAGGTTAGTTTGACCGCAACATTTCACTTCCCTGAAATCATACAAGCATTATAACTCAAAGTCTCACAAGTTGCTTCTTCTCATTTTCAAATGCGGAAAAAGAAAACCTCTTTTTTTTACAAAAGTATTCAGGGAGCCTTTTTGCTGCTACAATTCACATAAAACTGCCTTTAAAGCAGAGTACTTAAATATGTATGAAAAAGTTCCCCAAAATATAATTACTGCCCACAACCAAAATAAATTATATTCCCAAAGAAAAGCTACATTTTAATTGCATATACTCTCAAACACAAAAGCTTTGGAAAGTCAAACAGCTAAACATAAACCAGCCACTTTATCTCCTTTTTATAAATTGTTTCTTTTGGTGGATCAACATACCGGTTACATGCATGGAAAGGTTACAGAAAATCTATAATAACAGGAAAAAGAAAAACTTCACAGATGATTCCACACATCCTCAGGCTACAAACTTGTTCTTGGTAGTGGAGCCGCTCTTTGTAGCCGTGTCTGCATGAGACTGGTAACCGATGATGACTTTGGGAGGAACGCCTAATCTCTCCTTATACACACGCCTACCAAAAAAAAAGAAAAGAAAAAAAAGACGATAGTCAATAGATTATCAGGTGGAAAGACAAATAAAACCCAAATCTTTAATTTGGCGACCACAGACGACGTACAAGCTGTTGGACAGAAATAACATCCTCCGATGTTAATAACGCCTTCTGTGACAGGAACTGAGAGCAACCTCAGAACATGATACACAGGGTACAGCTTTCCCATCTGTCATAGCAAACATATTTGAGGCTTTTAAGACAAATATTAAGCAACAGTAACAGCTTCAATCTGGTTAGTCATTTGTCACTTTCACATTAGGGTGTCTCACACCGTCGCTGACATTAAAATGAAAAGTGGCACGTCATACAAGTCTTTAAAGTCACAGTTTTCTCACATCATGTCAGACCGTTACAGCTGGTATTTATCACGTCAACTGCTCTGCGGTTGGCTGAAATAGCGCTGCGGTGTTTGCAAGAAGTTAAAAATGTCCTTTTTCTAAACGTTTTGCTTAAAAATCAGTCACCTTCAGCTACTACTGGCAAATTCCTACAAATGTCAGGTTCCTTCATGCACGTCAAACCTCACATTACAATGTCACCGGAGGGTGCCACTGCTGGGCCACAGCCCTCCTTTTCCGGTGAACAAGCACACTCTTCCCCGTGACTTGCATGGAGCCCACCTTGTCACACACGCAGTTCATCCATTTGAGATTATATTGACTTTAACTTCTCACATGGAGGTGCTGAAACTGACAGTGATGACTCACTGGCAAGAAAGGAGAACGATCAATTCTGCCAGTCTGCAGGACACCTTGGAACTCAGTCCTGCTGCCATGTCCGCTGTCCAATCAGACAGCATAAAGCAATCCAATTTTTCAGAGCTTCCCTTTTCAGACACCCAGACACCGAATAAAAGTTTCCAACTTTTCTTTGGCTCCATCACTGTGGGTGTGGGGCCACTTGGTGTTGAAAGTGGCCATCAAATAGAACATGTTTGGTAACAGATGAGGAAAAGTGGACGGCGATGTTACTAAAGCCGATGCCTCTGACCAGCCGCTCTGCACCAAATGAACACACTGCATCTGTTGATATGTTCAGACTTTTGTCACTTTAGCAATACAAAATATTAGCTTCCTCAGAAACCCAACGTAAATTAACCTGGGTGATAAATCAAACCAGATTCAAATGTGTTTCCTTACTCTCAGACTCATGTAAAGCAGTTAATGTTTACAAGGAGGTTTAGATTTTGTACTAAAATTTTGAAACAAAATGGATATTTTTCTCATTTAAATAATCACTTCTTAACACAAGTTAAAAATGTAACATCAAACACTTTAAAAACATCAGTAGCTGAGGTTTGTGCAGCTCACCCTATGTGTGTGATGGCCTCTTTGTTTTCAAAGTCTGTGGTCCATATGGCTATTTTATCTCCTTTGGCTCTAACATTAATGACGGCTCCACAAACATCGTCGCTGTGGTCATCAAATGCTTCACCCACCAGACACAAAAGCTACAGGGGAAGAAAAAAAGGATATTTACAAAAGCTTTGCCATTTGAAAACAGATTTGAATGAAGAAAAAAAAAAAAGTGTTGAGTATTTGGTGTCAAAAGCAGACCGACTTGTCACAGTGGGAAGTTTAACAAGCAGCTGGCTTTGTTGTATTTGTCAAACAGAAGCTGGAGCTATATTCCTGCAAGCTTCCACATGGATTTAATAATGGTTTTGTTAAATTAACCATTCGGCTTACCGTCTCCAACCAAAAGCGGTCCAGATCTGCTTTCCGTTGCTGCTTGGACAGAGTTATCAGCCAGCGGCCACCTCGTCGGTTCCTCTCATCCTCCCACATTGGCTCGATTCCATCCTGTGTTCAAAAGTAAGGCCACAACATTTATACCACGCTGATGCATATTTATCCAGTAGTTAAAGCATGTTGTGGTCATGATAAGCTCTGGAAATACTTCAAAGACTGACACTATTGTAAGAGAAAAACAAGTAAAGCATTTGTTTCACCTTAAATAACGAATAGTCACAGCCTGACATCAAGTTACTTGATAGCTGAATGTGATTGTACAATCTGAAAAAATAAGCAAACATTAAAGCAAAGTACTGCTTTTCTTTACAGGGGACAGATTTTGTGTAGCAAAAAAACAAATCACAGCAACAAAGAATTGGTCATCTTCTGGCCTGGTTAAGTGGTAAGTCTATGACTTTCTACGAGTACGCACACAATGGCTACATATTGTCAGAAGTTTAAGTTAAGCTGCTTCTGCCAGCTGGACAACGGTTTCACTAAAACCAAATATGAGCAAATCCCATCCGAACTGTGCCCTCATGGAGCACTCAGTTGTTTTGTTAGTGCAACAAAAAGCAAGCGGAATCCTTCAGTTTAAACAGGCCAGAAAAGCAGAGCAGCAGCTGATTAGCTAATGTCCATCAGCTGGGAGCTTCAAGTGGCCGTCGCCATGGTGATGTGAAGAACCACACTCAACCTGAGCATTTACTTTGACTTTAAATAGTAAAAATTAAATATTTATGAAGAAATCACAGCTACTCCTGTGAGAACAGTAATGCCTCACTGTTTTAATATTTGCATTTCTGGAAAACAACAATAGCTACAGTTAAGCTAAAAACAACCACTGTTGGTTTACTGTGAAAACACTGCTAACTTCTTGAATTAAAAGGCAATTGTTCACTTACGCCCAAAAGTCTTCAACGGTGTCAAACTTAGAGATGAGACGAAGGTTAGCTTGCCATGTTTTACTTTTGTCGTTCTTGAAAAACCAAAGAGCCCACCTACAAAGAAAAGAAAACCACATTACAGAGCTCCATGCACTGGGAGAATTCACAATATTAACCCAATCGTTTAGCAGTAACTTCTAACACAAAGACAGGAACTAACGCTTACCTGTTTTGTAATGGATGCTTGATATAAGATTCTGGACTCAGAATCTTTTGAATGGCAGTTTCACATTTCTCTTTTTCAGGGTTTGCAGGAACTGAGGTTGACACCTTAAAAAATAAATGTGCACAGAAGACAAATTAGAATTGTCCTTGAAAACAATTATTTCTGAAAAGTTGTTGTGTTTCTCATGCACAAAAAAAGCTAGTTTTTGGTTAATCAACGTGGCCAGTGAACTTTGTTTTTATAGTTACAGCCATGACAGCGGTTAATCAAGCATTTTGGGAGGCAGTATTTCACTTTTCTTATCTTTAGAATCAGATCATGTGCCGTATTTTCTCAGCAACTCGGTTCAATTTTTGGAAGTTGGCCCCTTCAGTTTATTTCGGCGACTTAAGTTGTTTTCGTGAGAGTCTTGAACGGTAATCTTGCTTCAGTGACTATACAATTATGATATCCATACAATTAATAGATATCCTCGTCCTGACCGGAGCTGAACTCGAACCAGCGTTTGCTGGAAAATGCTGCTGTTCACGGAGCCGGTAACGTCAACTCGTGCGTGCGTCAGTCTCCTCGTTCATTCAAACATCAACAGTTGACTACGAGGCTCTTAACCGTCAAAACACTCTAGAACAGATGCGTTTTCTCAAAGTCAACGAGACTCCAGCAGTGGGGGAAAAAAGTAGTCATAGAAGGAGTAATGACAAAAACAAATCTACCGACTTTAACAAGGGGTGCGAAGTTGACGTTTAGCTAGCGAGCAACCTGTCAGATATAATTACACAAGTTTACAGGAGGTCTGCGGCTCATTGTTACATAGTAGAAATGTCGCAAAATTGTCCCTTTTCATTTGAAAACCAAGCATTGCATACATATGTTTTCCAAGTCAATATTAAGTTATTCGGGTACCATTATTTTGTTGCGGACTCACCACAACCGCGGTCGCCATCTTCTGAAATCACATTTAGGGTTTTTGGCCTGTGTTAAAATAGCTGATTGGGTCTGTCTTCATATCAGTACGCATGCGCAAGGATGACAACGAGAACATCCTTCTCCAATGTGGAGGTGCGATACCCTTGTCATCATTAGTCATTAGCCAATATTGGGCATGATTCGAAAGTCTTCATATATTATAAAGACTGCCCAACAGCCCATCCGACAATAATAATCTGTTTTCAGATTACTTTTAATCACAAAAACATCGGCTGTTGTGAAGTCACTGTGTTTGTGTAGCACTTAGCAACAGACCCAGTCAAATGTAAATATTAACATAATGCATAACAAAGGCAGGAATCATGACATTGTATGTGCAATTTCAAATACGAAGCCATACTTAAGCTATGCAAAATATGGTAAATTGGATATATTTCTAAACTGTTTATAGATTTCATATTATCTGTATTTAGCATGTTTTTATAAATATTCCAAGTAATACTGTGTTACTTCTAAATCTGCTTTCTTTTTTCATTCATTAGTGGCTGCTGAACTACATTGCTAATCAAATACATCTCAGCTGTTAAAGAAATAACCAATTAGTCCCCTCCCCAAACAAACAAAAAGAAAATGAAGAAAATGCAGTTATTTTTGCTTTTTCATCTTTTTTCATCTTTATTAACATGGTTTCTTTTTAACATTTCCTACTCAACATTGAAATGTATGCTATCAAAGATAAGTGCTCAGGAACAAATGTTGAAATTCTGGATGGAATCTGCTTCAAGGCAAGATGTGAAGTTTTGTTGTTTTGTTTTTTAAGGCACATCAGAAAGTCAGGACTGTGCGGATACTGCAAGATAAAAGAAAAAATGTATTAGGGTAAAGAAAAAATAAAGGAAAAAAAACAATATCACGACAGCAGCAAAGTATCTGCACCTTTTTCCAGCGTGCATGAGGTCAAATCCCTCATTTATCTTCTCAAAGGGCAGAGTGTGGGTTACAAACTCATCCACCTTCAGCTTCTTATTCATGTAGTCTTCCACCAGTTTTGGCACACTCTCCACACTCTTCCAGCCTTGATATGGGAACAAAACTCAGATAAAAACTAGAATTTTCATTTATGGATTACAAGGCTTGTTTCGAAGTCTACTTAAAAGATAGGAATTTACTCAGCATAAATTAGTTCATGCAAGTTTAAATCATGCAGAACAGAAACAACAGTGTCACCTCCAAAGGCTGTGCCTTTCCACACTCGGCCTGTCACCAGCTGGAACGGTCTGGTGGAAATCTCTTGTCCCGCTCCGGCCACACCAATGATGACGCTTTCGCCCCAACCTTTGTGGCATGCCTCCAAAGCAGCTCTCTGAAATGATGAAACCATCATGATGCCACTTTCAGCAGCTACTTAAACACTCATTTCCATTTGTGTATAATGTCCTGCATGACTAATGCAATATGAAGGCAAAGCCGAGTCCTCACCATAATCTGAACATTTCCAATGCACTCAAATGAGTAATCCACCCCCCCGTCAGTCATCTCGACCAGAACCTCCTGGATGGGCTTTTTGTGGTCTTTTGGGTTTACAAATTCAGTGGCTCCAAACTCTTTGGCTTTTTCAAACTTGTCAGGGTTGATGTCGACGCCAATGATCCTGGTTGCTCCAGCAACCTTGCAGCCCATAATAGCGGCTAAGCCAACAGCTCCAAGTCCAAAAACAGCACATGTGGAACCAGGCTCAACCTAAGAGAGATGGCACACGACACATAAATAAAAGGATTTTCTTAGGAGTTTGGAATAAGACAATAACTGGCAACTGGATAATCCTCTTGCATTTCAGTGAGATTAATTTATTCCATTTATTATTATCATTTAATAAAGTATTTAAAACAGACTGCCAAGCAAAAGGTTATTTAGACACAGAATGCCTACAACAAAACTGTGACAATCATGTTTGTATAAAGAAATTCAAACTCACAAACTTTGATTAGAATCAGTTTTATCTTCCATCGTGTTTTCGGTATGAGGCTAAAAAGGCCTTTGCTGCTTACCTTGGCAGTGTTCAGAGCAGCACCATAACCCGTAGAAATGCCGCATCCAAGGAGGCAAACTTTATCCAGCGGAGCGCTCTCATTAACCTTGGCCAGAGAGATGTCAGCCACCACCGTGTACTCGGAGAAGGTGCTGGTCCCCATGAAGTGGAACACTTGCTTCCCCTTGCAGGTGAAGCGAGAGGTCTTGTCAGGCAGCAGGCCCTGACCTTGGGTCACTCTGCAGGGTGGAAGCACACAGACAGGATGATTTCACGATTGTGTCCGGAAACTGGACGGCCGAACGAGCTTTGATGTGGATTTTCTTTACCTAATTTTCTGGCAGAGGTTGGTCTTGGGATTCTTGCAGAATTTACATTCCCCACACTGCGGCACGTACAACGGGATGACGGTATCACCTTGGCAAATAAAAGAAAATCCTGTTTGAAAAGTGGCTAATCAAAGTCTTCTGTTTCAAAGTTCTGACCGACAGCTGCTTACCTGGCTTGAATTTAGTCACGCCCTCACCCACACTCTCCACAGTCCCGGCGCCCTCGTGCCCCAAAATGACGGGAAAAAGCCCCTCAGGGTCACTACCACTCAGGGTGTAGGCGTCCGTATGGCAGACTCCTGTGGCAAAGAGCTGAAGAGAGAGCAAAAAAAATGATAACACACAAAACTTTTCGTGTTTTTGCAAGCACTAAACATAGTATAGGGATTCTCAAGAGGAAAATGGTAAGAATTCTCTGCTTCGAGTTAACAAAACAACTAATTAGAATAAGGTAAAGTCTAAAAAGAATCTTCCTGGAGGATTGCTGATCTAAATTTGAGGCTTCTGCTCCCAACTAATGCTTGTCTGGAGCAAAGAAGATGTTTACCTTTATGCGAACTTCATGGGCATTAGGTGGGGCCACCTCCACCTCCTCGATGGAGAGAGGCTTGCCGGGTTCCCAGGCAACAGCTGCCTTGCACTTTATCACCTACAAGCACACAAGGTAAATTTAGATTAACATCAAATTATGATCCCACAATTAACTGCACCTTACATGCTCTCAGGCAGGTCAAGCAGCTGGTTTGTACCAATATCAGACCCAGCAGATTATCCATGGACCATAAATTACTGCAATTCAAACGCTATCAGGCCTCTGGGTTTTGATCCCTGACAGGCGGGTAATGATTAATTGCAAACCCAAAGTGAAAAACTTCCTTCTTTAAAGGCAAAGGCTTTCCTTGGACATGTAGGCCACGGCACGGCTGTCTTTTTGGGGGGAATATGCAGCACAAACCTGAACATACCAGCTGTAGCTGACCTGCCAAACGCCCCCGTTAGGTCCGAGGACAGTGATTCTTTTGTTACACTTCGTTCAAACAGCATTTACGACTCCGCGTAAATAAGAGAAGCTGCTCTAGAGCCGCACGAGGGGGGGGTCGCGTGCACTTCGGCGGGTTTTCGCGCGAGGGGTGAAAGCAAAAACTACTTTTCTTGTCTTGGTTTGGGTAAACTTACTTTTCCTGCTGTCTCCATGTCCGTAGTCTCAGCGCGAGAGAGAGAGGAGGTGCTTTGAGCGGCCGTAAAGGAGTTACCGTCGTGGCCAATCAGAGACGAGAACGCGCTGGCTAATCATGACGTCACCAAGTAGGAAAGGAGAGAAAACTGGGTCCAGCAAGAATTAGCACCTGTTATGAAATGACTTCCCACTGTTCCTTCATTCAGTGATTTACGGCCGGGAATGAGACAGATATCCACCTTTTTACTTATTGTTTTTCTGTCTTACCTACTCTGCAAGATGTTGTAATGAAAGTTGTATTTAAATACATTTTATATATCAAATATAAGGACTACGACTTAAACAGTGTCGAATTGAACAGCTTTACACTTCAGAAATTAAGAAGAAGCTATTCATTTGGCCTGATTATGTGCTGACATCACAACGGGAATGCCTTCGATAACATTGAGGTTCCTCAAATGAACTATTCCACCAAAAGTCAAACCTTGTGAGCAGTTGTCCTCTCTAAGCCTCAGGCTCTGATCTCTCCCAATTCAGATCAAATGCAGACTTCTGGACTACAAAATTAATTGATATTATCAAGTTTGCAAGGTTCCAGAAATCCTTATCCAATTGTTTGGTCAGTTTTGCTCATCAGCTATGTACCAAACTGGGCACAATTAACTCAATTATCCAGTTTCCAGAGCTTCACACAGAAAAAGTTCCTCAGGCTAAAAAAATATAATTAAGAAAGTGTAAGAGAACAATATTTCAACTGGATTTTGGGGCTCAAGATTTATTTCTGTCCTGTATAATCTGATGAAATGAGGTAAATACCTTTAAATGATGAAAACAACACACACGGCTACAAAGAACCTTTTAATAAAAAGCCTTGGACAAAAGCGTGTGAATATTTTTTGCGGGACATGTTCCATGTTCCAAATGTAGCGTCCCCTCCCCCATCATACTGAACAAATTGTGACAGATTAATCACGACAAGGTTTGCAAACCTTTATCAAACATCCATCTCACACAGAATAGTGACAAATGTACAGAAGACCCTTCAAAGGTGGTAAAAAACATTCTCATGTTACCCACACAAAAACGTGTAGACGAGAACCTTTTAAATAAAGTCATCAAGGCCCACCGTTCATCCAAAGCTGGTACAAAAAAAACAAACTCAAGAGGCAATGTTTTTCTGAGTCCTTCTGGCCAGAATTATGAGTCTTTGAGACAAAACGGTGAAAATAAAGAGCAATGGTGTGATCATCTTCCCCCTGCAAGCATATAAAAACAGCAAAATGCAAACATCAGAAAAAAAAGTGCACCCAAATGTGCAATCTTCCACAGCAAGAGCAGATTACACTCAAAATGCGCACAGATGGATAAATCGAGAACTAACCTCTGAATCCACGTCCTCCACCGCCTCCTCCTCCTCTCCCTCTGAAGCCTCCTCCTCCTCCACGTCCACCTCCGAATCCTCCACCACGTCCGCCCCCGAATCCTCCACCGCGTCCACCTCCAAATCCTCCACCGCGTCCACCTCCGAATCCTCCTCCTCCCCTGCCGCCTCTGAAGCCGCCTGGACACGAAACAGAGCTAAAGTCGAAGTCCTACTGCTGCCAGCTGGACTCTGAAGGAGCACAGCTCAGAATTCCCAATTTAAATCCAAATGACAGAGTCATCTGCTTCTACATGACACCTTCTTCACATTCAAACCGGATTTTATTTCAAGGGAGAGATCTTCTCACCTCCACCTCTTCCTCCTCTGCCTCCCCTGGGGGGTCCCTTCTCTCCCGGGGGCCTCGGAAGGAATCTTTGCAACGGGAGAAGCTTCATCGGATCGATATAAAACTGAAAAAAAAGGCACAGGTTGAAAACAATTTGCAGGATTCTGGGCCTGAAGCTGGTCATTTGAGTCTTTTTTTCCTTTTACCTTCTGTAATTTCTTGAAGGAAGACGCCTTCATGTTTTCCGAGAGTTTAACAGAAAAATACTACAAAATTAAGTCAAGGGTCATTAGGATACTGGAGGGCATTTGTCGTCATGGATTCTCCGAGACTGAAATATGGTCAACAGAAAGGATACAAAGTCTCTGAGCTGCCCGAAAATCTCGTCCACCTTCCCGATCTGCTCCTTGTTTTCCAAGTACACAGGCGCATTGAAGTATGGGACTTTGTTTTCTTCGGTTGTACATTTGCATACAATGTCATCCTCACAGGGATGCATGAACTCCCCCACGGCTGAAAAAAGAAAAAAACACAAAGAGCAGAGTTTTAGGAGTAGGAAGCCACCGGGGCTTAGAGTTTTGACCCGTGTTTTTATGCCGTTCTGACAAGAAACAGCAAGGCCACATGTAAGCATATTCAGACAAAAGAAAAAAACTGTGCTGCAGAGTGTTTGACTAATGTTCTTGTGTTGGACTTGTAAAGGGAATACATTTCTCAGTGGCTGTGGTGCATGGCTCCTGCCTAAAGCATATGGGTGTATTGACGCCCCCCTATTTGCATTTGCACATCTCCCTGGAAAGAGACTAGAAGTCTGCAGCTGGAGGAGGCTGCATCCTGCTTAGCCAGGCAGGATTTCTAATTTATAAAAAAGTATCATTGCTCCATACAGAATGTTGAATCTCCCAACATTCCATCCCCCTGCAGGCTTCTACTTACAATTGTCCAGGGGTCCAGCATAAAAGGTTAAATGGCGTTTCAAAAATCCTTTTAATTACAATGTTGACATCAAACGTTTGCATGATTTTGATTGTTTACAAAACTGATGATTCTGAATAATCAAATCCATTCATCTTTAAGATGATTTGAAGTTGAAACAAAGACTCTTTGGACAAAATTAACTCTATAACTAAAGGCTCCTGTATTTCAGGAGACTCACGTGACACAAACTCAACCGTTCAATCATCCGCACTACTTTTTCCTCCAGACGATGCATTTTCCGTGTTTCATCAAAAATAAGCAAATCAAATGAAAACTTACCAACAACATACTCTGGAGGACCGTAGTCTTGCTGCCTGTTAAAACCACCTCGTCCGCCACCCCGTCCGAATCCTCCACCTCCTCTAAACCCTCCACCCCGGTTAAAACCTCCCCCTCTTCCTCCTCCTCCTCTTCCTCCACCGCGTCCACCTCCTCCTCTGAACGACATTGTCCTCAAATTTTCTGTAAAAAATAATAAAAAGCACAAAACACCGTGAGTCTACACAGGCAAAGCATTAGCTTAGCTAGTTTTCAGTCATTGGGCTAACAGCGCGAACTTAAAAACGAGTTTAACAAGATATTTAAATACAAAAAAGGACGTATCTGGACACAAACTCCTACATAAATCACTAGCTTTAAAACAAGAACACCTGGACGTCTGCAAAGCATTCTGACAAAAACTTCTGAGTACTTACATTCCGGTCAGCCAGCTGCACTCGAAGCTCCATGCGATGACAACACGTGTGATCACGACCTGCCGTAAAGTTGTCCAGCTTTGTCGAGGAGTGTCGTAAACTCCACTGAGCGACGCAGCTCACATTTAAAGGAACAAAAGGCATCTCGAGTCAGCGAAATTTATTGAGAATCGTTGTGAACGTGAGTCTGTTCAGAAAATGAGTAAAAATAGACCTGATGTTTGACATGGTGGAGTGTGCAGATGTTTGTTTTGTTTTTTAGTTACAGGTCAATACATCACCCAACAATGGCAACAAAGGGTGAGGTAAGAAAAAAACTTTAAAAAAAAACATTTTGTTCAGACTTATTGTTTGTGAGTGTGTCTCTTTAGACATTTGTTCACATATGCTGTCTGTCATCATGTTTTGTACCAGTGGGCAACCCATCTGATAACTTATGTTTTTTTAGGTGATCAGGTGCAAGGCAGCTGTTGCCTGGGGCCCCGGGAAGCCTCTGGCCATAGAAGAAGTTGAAGTGGCCCCTCCTAAAGCCCATGAAGTCAGAATCAAGGTCAGCTGCACATCCTAAGTGATACTTGTCTCAGAAGTTAAAGCTTAATGAATCCTGTCATTATTGTTTACTGTCAAAAATGTGATGAAGTTGTTGAAAAAGTGACTCTCTGTTTGGACTTTGCTTGTGAAACATCCAAACAGGAAAAATGAGGCTAGACTTTACTTCCTCTGTTTTGTTTTGTGCTGCTATGTCACCCTCAACTTCCTCATGGTTGGCACATGATATCTTTTTGCACAGGTTGTGGCCACTGGAGTGTGCCACACGGACTGGGAGTACCTGTATGCGTCCGGAAAGGGAATGACTTACAGGCCGTTCCCGTTAATCCTCGGCCACGAGGCGGCCGGCATAGTGGAGAGCGTTGGCCCGGAAGTCACCCAGTTCTCACCGGGTACGCTGTGAACGTTACCACGAAGAACTTAGCTTTTGACTTTAAGTTTCCCCTCCATGACTGCGTTCTGGTTTTGCTTCCAGGGGATAAAGTCATTCCTCTTTTTTTGCCCTACTGTGGGGAGTGTGAACGCTGCCGAAGTGCGAAGACCAATCTTTGCCGGAAAAACTGGTGATTTCACTGTCACATGATTACAAAAAAACAGACACACTCATTGTCTTGGTCTTATGGTATTTAAGCGTTATTTTTTACGTGAATTTCAGGGAAAACACCCAAGCGGGTGTGCTGGCTGATGGCACGAGCAGGATATCGCACCAGGGCCAGCAGATCTACCAGTTCCTGGGTGTGAGCTCTTTCTGTCAGTACACTGTGGTTCCTGACACGTCTCTGGCTAAGATCAGGTCAGATGCACCGCTGGATAAAGTCTGTCTGCTGGGCTGTGGCGTCCCCACCGGGTATGGTGCCGCTGTGAAGACAGCCCAGGTAACAGGATTAAAGTCTCAGATTGTCTCAGACTCGACACAGCGAGGGCCTGACACCCCATAAGCATCTGAGCTGTTATATTCTAATAAAGTTTTAAACTTTGTATTAAGTGTGAGACTTGGCTGTAGGTATCAGTGTCTTCCTCTAGATGGCAGTAGATGTGATAAACGCTTCTAAAATGAGAAGAGGAACATCTCTAGAGGAAGATGAAGTACTACACATGGAATTATACATGTTCATATATTAAATTATTTAGTAAATGTTGAAATATAAATATAAAACTAAATGAAAAAAACACATTTTTTCATTTATTCGATTTTTCATGAAGATGTTTTAAGATAAATGTATTATTTTTCATGTCTAAATTGATCAATTCATTCTCTTCATTATTCAATGTTGTTCTGATTCTCGTCGTGTGATATTTCTTGTGTTTTTACTCTCCTCTTAAGCTTTTTATTGAAAGGATTTAGGTTTGCATGTGAATAGTTTGTTTTTGTTTTTTAGAGTTGCTGCCAAAATTGACTAATTTCTGTTCACACGATAAACAATATAATTTCTGTATATGTTTGTAAAGAGTTATATGATGAGTTATGAGGGATTCAAAGATTTCAAGAGTATGTATCTTTTTTTATTTCAGTCAAGTTTTGATCAATGTTAAAAGGAGACCATTTTGTTAAAATTGAACAAGACTGGTTAGAGAAACTAGGGATTTGGGTAGCAAATCTTAAAAGTTATAGATTTTGGTTTACCTATAGCTAAAAATAAACAGGAAATTACATTATAGAAATGTGACAGAGCTTTCTGGGATTTCAGCATACATCCATTTTCATTACCACCTCAGTTGCATCAGTTACCACATTACCACATCAGTTGCAACTGAAAACATGCATGTTTTCAGTTTAATGTAGAGTCTGACTTTCTTTAAAATAATAAAAGTTATGAAAAGAAATTTTTTAAATGAAAAATGTACAGTAAACGTTTATCACGCACTTCTCAGAATCTCATAATGGTTTGCATGGTAGGATGAAGATCTTACTGTCTGATGATAGACAATGTGTTTAATGTGTATCATCGACCAAAGTCATCTGCAGAAAAGGATTAAGGCCTTAAGATAACAGAGTCCACCAATGTGTGCTCCTCCAGGTTGAGAAAGATTCCTCGTGTGCCGTGTTTGGACTGGGAGCTGTCGGACTGGCGGCCGTCATGGGCTGCAAGACGGCCGAGGCAAAACGGATCATCGGGGTCGACGTCAACCCCGACAAGTTTGAGAGGGCCGCTCAGTTGGGAGCCACCGACTGTGTCAATCCAAGAGATTACAACGAACCTATCCAGGAGGTCCTGCAGAAGATGACCGACGGCGGGGTGGACTATGCTCTGGAGTGTGTTGGAAGTCCAGCTGTCATGGTGGGTGTCTTCAAAGATTTGCATTAAAGCATTTTAAAACACATTAAAGGTTGTTAAAAGTGTCACAGAATCGATCTGTGTCACACAGGTTGGGTTAGAAGATCTGCGTTAGCAGGAATGGCCCGCTTTTTCTGTGGATTTTTCTGTTAACTGGAGCATAATTGTGCAGATAAACAGAGATTTGACTGAAACATCTTGCTGTTTTGTATGAGACCGCCGCACTTGAGGCCACGACAGAGGCCTGGGGCACCTGTGTCATCGCGGGGTGGACGGAGACCGAGGTAATGGACGTCAAAGTGATAAAGATCCTCATGGGGCGCACCTTGAAGGGAACGTATTTTGGAGGTACAATTAAAACACTTTACAGCTTTCTGGGCTTACAATGCTACCTTGACTATTTGCCCTCAATGTCTTTTTTGGGGGGGAATCCCTCCTTAGTTTATTTGATAAATACTTTGTATGTTTCTGAAGATTGTCTGATTCATGTTGGTACCTGTTAAACCTGGTCGTCTTCTTCCGAAGGCTGGAAGAGTGCGATAGATGTGCCCAAACTGGTGGACGACTACATGAATAAAAAGCTGAAGCTGGATGAGTTAATCACCCACAACCTCCCTCTGGATCAAATCAATGCGGCTTTTGACCTTCTGAAATCTGGTAAAAGGTAAATGACGATTAAAATCTGGTTAGGGATTTTTAATGTTTTTTTATTTATGTGTCTGTGGAAAAAGACGAGGGACCCATGCAGTTAACCACTCTGCTCTTTTTATTATAAGACTTCATGTTACTAATTTTTTTCACAGTTTAGTGATCAAAAAGTCCATGTCAGAAATAAACTGTTTGAATATGAAAACCAACAATTTTCAAAGACTTTACAGACTGCAAACGTTTCAGCAGAATCTTTTATAGTTATGCACAGAGTGTGTTAGTAGTGTGTCTTGACCCTAATTTTCCTCTGGAAAAAATAGGAATACTGGTTTAGGAAATTTACAAAATTGTTCATATAATTAATATTGCATTAAAGCATAACTTAATAAATAATTTTTTAATCCATTGCAATCATATTGTCTATAGAATGCACTGGATTGGGTGATGAATTTATTCTGATAATTTGTCCTCTTTTTTTTAGCATCCGTAGTGTCATCAGTCTGCAAGTGGACACTTAAAGAGATACATCAATGCTTTTTTTCCTCTTTTTTTTCTCTTTTCTTTCTTTTCCACAAGCTGGATAATGGGCTTTTTGGATGATTTATGGGCCAAATTACCACATTTACCACTAGATGGCAGTCTCACACCATACAAAAGCTTAAACATTTGTGCAGGCGGCATCAAATCTTATTTGGGGGGGAAAAGATAGTTAATCTGCAAATATTTCTACATCTTAATTCACGTTAAAATCTCGTGTTTTTGTACTCGTTCCTCAAAGTTTTGATGAAATCAGAGAGCGAAAACAGAAGTTTCTCTGCTCTTACGTAAAGTAAAACAAGATGTAATTCATAAATATGCAGCATCTGCAGCAACATCACGGCAAATTCTCTCTACATCTGTCATACTTGGCAGCTACAGTAACAGTGATTCCTGTCCAGACCATCTTGTATTAAGGATGGGCTAAAAGACAGGAGCCCAAATGGCAGATTCTGTCGTCAGCCGTGGAGAAATGTCTGCTTCATGTGGTCGGGCTTACCAAATTTCGTCCTTGGTAATATTATATATTGATTTAAAAGGGAGTCACCACGAAGGGCTAGAATAACAGTTGTGGGCTGTCAGGGCCGAAGACAAAAGGTTGTTTTGGGAATGCCTCATGGTGAAGACCTGAAATAGCTGTCTAAAGAATTTGTTTTATTGAGGCTCCTTTCAGATCAAACGAATACCCCTGGCAGTTATCCTGATTTTCCATCCTTTCTTTTAAAAATGGAAAATAAAGTGGTGCTCCTCGTCTTAGCTTGGTCTCCTTTGCTTGTGCCATCAATCTCGAGTCGTACGGCTTAGATCCCCACTTTCTCTCGGTAAAAAAATCAGAAAATAAAGAAAGCTTTTGACAGTGGAGTCATGCAGATAATGAAGAAACACAAGGAGAAGGGGAGATCAATAGAAAGCGTGAGACAAGTTTTGACAGGTGGTCATGCGACTGGGCACCGTCATCTGTAAATGTTGGACAAGCTCCCAGATTTATAAGGCTTTCTTGGGGACATGTGTCTGAATGTCTGCCTCATCTATGGGAAAACCTATCCAAAGTGACGACCATAAGTCTCCCACCTTTTTTTTTTTCTCCACCCCCCCCGTGCCTTTTGATCCCTCTAGCCTGTGGAATTGTCACAGCATTCTGCAACTGATACAGGGAGGACATGCTGTCTGAATTACAGCCGCGGCATTGCACGCATTGTCAAAAGTCTTAATTGCCCATCTCGTCACGTTTCACATTCATCAGTGCAGCTTTTGTGCAGAAATCCTTTGTGGAGGATAATAACATAAAGTCAAATGGTAGATAGAGATAAGAGCTTTGACATTTGGAAATTATGCTTTCTTATATCTGTGTTGTTTGTTTGTTACTTTCATAGCTTCGATGTAAAATTAATTGCTGACAGAGATCAGAAAAAAGGGAACTGCTATTACACAAATAAAAATATATTTGAGAAAAAAGTGCTGTCCTCCTATACACTTCACAATATCTATCTATCTAAATATCTATCTTCTGTATTCCATTTATCTGTGTCTCAGCAACATGTTTCTTACGACTTACAATCCAATTTTGATGTAAAAAATGTCTCAATATGATCTTCAAGTAGCGTTTTAACTGGGCATTATTCTTATTTGTTCATACTTTTTTTGACTAAAGGATTATTATGGCAATATCTAGAGTAAATGAGAGAAATACACACACACACACACACACACACACACACATTTGACAGAGACGTAGACACTTAGACAGTTATTCCTCTATAGCCCTACGGCTACAGAAGACGGCCCACTAAAGTCACAAAAGACTACCAAAGGCAGACCTCTGTTTTATCAGTAAATCCTGGCCATTACGGGCCTAATGCCAGGCGTTGCCTGTGACATCCCTGGTCTTTTCCTGACACGGCTAGCGATAGCTTCTGTGTCAGTGGAAAGTACTCAGCTTGAGGACACCAGTACTTGGGGCTTTGTGTCTTGGAGGGATGGCAAAGACACTCTGTGCCGAAACATCAGGGTGCAGCGTTTTCACATAGATACCTATTTGGCCTCCCAAAAATGACTATTTCAAGAAACTAGAAATAATTATCATTATTCTGGCTTGAATGAACTCTTTAAAAAATACGTAAGACCTTAAAATGGGCTTCAGAAGTTACCCCTTTTATTAGCAGTTTACTGGTAGTTAGCATACAACAGCACATATGTACTGTACCTGTATTATTAGAAAATAAAAACAAAACTACACCATTTTATACACAGACAAAGGTATAGAATAAAGGTGAGACATATCCATTGGTCCTTCTCAGTTGTCTACAATATAAAATTCTTTACAGAGACTATTTGGAGGGATATTTTGTGAGACCAAACCTCTAAGCCTAACAATAAACCTATCATGCTATTTTCAATGAGCCATCAAGATCACGTGACATGTGTTTTGTAACCTGTCAATCTGACAGTGTTTTATAGTTGAGTTGCAACAGAAATAGACAACAAAGAGCAGGATTGTGCAGACCACACGTAGCTATTACCAAAGAGACTCGCAAACACACAATCTCATAAAGCGATCAATGCGTGACAGCCCTAAGCTTTTGTTGTCTTTTGTCTGACAGAAACAGTAAAGTAGTAATTGAGAGATTAGCTGGAAGGTGCGATCATGGCACTCCCTTGTTTGGTCTCTCCCACAGTGGTCACACAGCACATTACCAGTAGGGCATGGGAAGGAGTCATGCGGTGAGACACGTCGTCTTTTTTTAGCTCTTTTGAATTCATCATAAATAAAACAGTCCAAGAATTAATTTCACAAAAATTGCGAGGATACAGAGTTAGATAAATGGGTCAAACCTTTTGTTTCTTCACTAAAGGCATTGAACATACATTGTAATGAAGATAAAGTAGCTTCCCATGAACTTGTTGGATTCTCTGGGCTTTGACAGCAATTTTTGATTTGCAGACCTGGACATAAATATAGCCTTTATGTCACTTTTCAGTGCTTTCCTTTTCCTTTTTAAAAAAAATTTAGTTAGTGCACCAGCCTAATTTCGGATCAATTCTAAATATTGGTGATGGCAGTTTTATACTCATGAATGTAAGAATGGTACAAAACAAGTGTTGGTGTAACTAAGGAAAAATCTGCAATGGCCGAAATGCTCTTTAAGATTAATCGTCATTATGCAATGAAGAAAATTTCCATCAGAATAAAATGAGAGTACCAGACTTGCAGAAGTTGCTTCGGGCCCTGCTAAAAATGATACTTTCTTTTAAAAAAAAATGTAAAAAAACATTTTCTTTTCAGAAATCTGTCTTGCAAGATGTCACTTGCATCATTTAAGCATTACCTCAAAAAAGCATTTAGAGTTGGGGTAAAACGACAAACATCAAGATGAGTACGTGGTGAGTCATAGTTACCTTGTTAGGAGCCACAGAGAAGTACATCACTGTGTTTTTCTCCGTCTGCTCACAATAACTCACTGTTTTCCAAAGATGAGGCTCCTAAATCAATGTTCCTTGGCTCATTGCCCAGCCACAAAAAGACTGGGCCGATCCCAAAAAATACACTCCAACACCGAATACAGTTGACTGAACACTTTTCTTTGGCTAGTAATTGTGGTGAACAGAAGAGAGACCTGAAATGATCCATTATATGGGCCTGGGCCCCGTTACTCATTCACAAGCAGCTTCAGTAATATTTGGGCAGGAGGGGCCGAAGTTTGTAATGCTAAATTTATATTTGAGTCCATTTATGATGGATGGGTTGTAGTCTCAGAATTTAAAAAAGTGATTCAGGAAATCCTACTCACTTTTGGGTCTGCATCCAGGCAATAAAAAAAAAACAAATTCACCTAAACTTTAGTAGTAAAACTACAATGTATATATGGACAGATAAATATCTAGAATGAGAAATCATGGTTATTGTTTTTTGCACCTGCATCCTATGTCTTTTCTGATTTCAGTTTGGCACCAAACAGTTGCTGTTTAGAAATGACTAAACATGAATATCCCGTGGATCTGAATCATCCTAGATGCCTTTGGGAAGTAAGTTTTTAGGAAGGTTCACATTGTAAGGTCAAATTCCCTGCGAGGAAAACACACAGATTTAAACTTTAGTAACAGATTAAGCATGAAATATGTAATCCTAACTGGGAGAGGGCGGGGGGGGGGGTTGAGCATGTACTTTATCCTCCCAGCCCCACACTGAGAGAACCAACAGTCTGCTGCCACAACCCCAGTGTCCCCTTACTCTCTTTTAGAAGTCTCTCTTATCTCCCCTCATCTTAGCTGAAGTCTCTACGTGCTTCGTGTTTGCATATAATTCCCAAATCCTACAGAGCAAACATGAGCACGGGCAGATTATCTTAATATCATCCATGGCACTAAACACACAAAAAGTAAATGTCATTCAAGTCCCATGGTGCCATCAAAATAATGATAGTAAACCAGGGCCAAGAAAGGGCAACAATCAGAAATAATTAC